TTTTTTTATGTGAAACTAAAGGACAATTCAACTGTTGGTAAAGAGGGCATGTTTTCACACAGTATCAACTCTCACTTACATATTTCAGCTTTTTTTATACACTGACCTTCAAACAAGGGGCAGAAGTGCCTCCAGCAGGTAATACATCCCTGAGATGTGAACTGTCCCATAGCTGTTTCCAGGAGGAACATTGGGATGCCACAAGCAAGCAGAAACAGGACGTAGGGAATAAGAAATGCACCTGAGAGTAGAAACAGGAGGATCACTACACAAATATGCCACAAGATTTCGCTTGGGGCAAATCTCTTCAAGCATTACCCTTCATGTTCACATATCAACAATTTTGAGAGAATGACAGAAAAGCAGAGGGGATATGTGTTTGATCTGCATACCTCCCCCATTTTTGTAGCACAAGTAGGGAAACCTCCAAAGGTTTCCCAGGCCAACCAATGTTCCTGCTACAGCCAGTAAAAACTCCAACTTGCTCGCCCACTGGCCGCGGTCGAGCAACTGAGTCTTCTTCATGAGACCTTTTTCTTGTCCGGGTACGTCCAGGCTGCTTCCTTTAAGAAATTCCCTCGGCATGCTGAGAAAATCAGTAGCAAATTAAGTTGTATTGGTTTTGTTCGTTAGTTTGTTTTTCTTGTTTAAAAAAAAAAAAACAATACAAAAACCCTCACCCCAATGTCCTTCCACTTCCTCCACACTTATAGGACAACTGCTGTCAAACCTTTAAAGCTCTCATTCACACTGACAGAGAGCTCTGGGGGTTTTATTGCACACATTCAGAACTTCTCAGCTGATTATTTGGCATTGCTTATAAGCTTAATTTATTCATTCGTTGAACTTAAGCTCGTAGGATAATCGGGAATTGAACTGGCGACAGAGTGCTGCCGCATTTTTTGGCGTTAAAGCGTAAAGCGCAAAAGAAAAACGCGGTGAACACCTACCTCTCCATCATCAAACTCCCGCCCCCAAGAGCCCCTTTCCAGCCCCAGAAAACTGATCAGTATTCCTCTCAGCCGCTTACACTGCGAGAGCTCTACACAGCAAACATGTCATGAACAGAGCCAAAGTGAGAAACAAAGTAACCGTGGTTTGCTTTAACTCCTCTGACCCAATTATTGCTCTGCACGTTACGCATTAGAAAAAAAAGAGGTTTGGCTGTGACAAAGATCCGATCTAATGCCACTTCCCTGCTGTATTTTTCCACTCAGACAGGAAGACCTCGAGTGTATAAGATTAGCACTTTGGCTAATAACTAAAGCAAAGCAGCTAAGCCGTCTCTGTTAATGTCATGTGCTGTAAAGAGACCTCACTGAGCTGCCAGCTGGAGGATTTGTAGCAGTGGTTCATACATCACATGAAAGCAATATAAACATTTCTGTATGCAAACAGGCATGCGGTGGGAATGACTGAACGTATAGCGTGCACCTCGTGTTATTGTATGGCGTCTATAATTAGATGCAAGTTCTGCTTCACATCTGTACACGTGCAGCTGCTTTAATTTCCTTTCTGAATGTCTGAGCTCTGATCGCTGAATATGTTTTCTGTGAATAATTTACTACATTGATATTAATAATAATAATGGATTGCATTTATATAGCGCTTTTCGAAACCCTCAAAGCGCTTTACAATTCCACTATTCATTCACTCTCACATTCACACACTGGTGGAGGCAAGCTACAGTTGTAGCCACAGCTGCCCTGGGGCAGACTGACATTGCTGATATTGCTACTGATAAATATTTGTTTTTTACACTATTTACTTCCGTCTTCTAGTTGCTGTAATCATCAACTTTGGGACTGCTGCACCCCCCACTGATCTGACACATAAATAGTTCCTGAAATGTGCTCCTGTAACATTTCCTTTCAATTAAATATAGTGAGACACAGATGTCATTTAATATATTCTCAAGTGGGGCGACCGTGGCTCAGGGGCTTGGGAAGCGTATCT